CAAAAGAATTAAGCATTTATTATAGTTTGGGACTTAGGATCTAGACGGTGCTGTCCATCAGGACATCCCGCAGTAAAATAACCAGTAATACATTCTCTAGCAGGTGGTTTTTAGCATGTGGTTGATGAGTTCTTGATGGGAGGCTTGTATAACAGATGGACAGCATTTTAAATTTAAATGCACATGTAACTAGTGGCTGCCATATTGAACAGAGCAACCACATATATCTCAGCTCTGCAAGTGTATTTATATAACCTTGAGTGAGCTACTTAACCTTTCTGAAGAATATAAATAATATATACCTTCTCTGGGCCTTATGCTTGTGTGAGTTGATATGTAAGAAATAACTAAATATCAGCTAATATTACTCTAATTTTTATGTGTTTTTTAAATGTCATAGAAGAGAATACAAAGGAGAGGAAGGTATAGTTTCTGTGCTCAGCATGTGGCTGCTGTTGACGGATGATCTGGTATTTCAGATGGAACTTGCCAGAAGTTCTTTTTTTTTTTTTTTTTTTATTTGAGAGAGAGAGAGAGAGAGAGAGAGAGAGAGAGAGAGAGAGAGAGAGAGAGTGGTGTGTGTGTGTGGCCAGCTCAGCCCACCAGGGGGCGGGGCTGGCTGGCATGTGGTGCTGGGGGATTGAACCGCAGTCCCTGATGCTTTGATAAGCTTGTTCCAAGTAGGTGCTTTAGACCACTGAGCCATCTCTCCAGCCCCAGAAGTTCTTGAAGGAGCTTATTACTTTACTTTACTTATGTGGTTGATACAGCCTGAGCAGAGATGGGGACGTTGAGGTCCTTGTCCAAGCAGGATAGACTGGCCTTTTGTTTCAGATTTCTTTATCTACAAGCAATTGTTCCAAGCCTGCACCTGAGAAATTTCAGATGCTCTTTAAGTATGCAAAGCTAGGTTTCCACTCTGAAGACTAATCTGTATTACTGAAATTCTTTTTTTTTTTTTTTTCCTTTCTAAATTATATTTTGGCAGCAACTACCAAAAAAGAGCAAGATCTATAGGCCATGTTCTAAAATTGCACTCTTTCGATGTGTCATTTAATTCTCAAGCATAGCCCTTTGTGCTACAGAGCCACTATCTAAAATCCGAGACGCAATGTGTGTTTCAAAATTCTGATTTTTTCAAAACTTTAGAAAGGTAATGTTAGATATTACTTTCAGACAAGTATTATCATATTAAATGCAATCAGGGCTATAAATAGCTGTCATCAGTTCAGAATGTTTTTCTCCAAAGGGATCATAGTTTTAGGCTTGAAACTCCCCTGAGTGTGTGTGTGTGTGTGTGTGTGTTTCAGTTTTCTAAAATTGGTGAAATGTGGAATTAAAGATAATTTTGTCAGATTTGCATCACCCCTATTTATTTATTTATTTATTTATTTATTTATTTATTTTTGCAGAACCAGGGATTGAACTCAGGCCCTTACGCTTTCCAGGGAAGCGCTTATTCTACGGAGCCATCTCCCCGGCCCCTATCATCCCTATTTATGCAGCTGTTACTGGCAGAACCTAAATTTTTAGGGGTTTGTCTGGTACCGAGTCCCATACTCTTTCTGCCTTAATAAAAAACATGAACCCTCTGCTTTGCAGGATTTTGATGACTACCTTTTGAGCCCTCATTTTATTTATTGTTGACTGCCACTTTCTCTGTAGCTCAAACAGCCAGAGGTGCTTACTGTTTGTTGAGTGAATCATGTCTCATCTCTGGGTGACTATCCTTTTTCACAGCTCCTCAGGTCAGGGATTTCTAGCAAGCACAGTAGAGTGAATGGTAGAACAGTGGCATCATTCCTTTGTATAAATTGCTTTCTCTCTGTGTTTTCAGGATATAGTTAAGGCACTTCATGTGAAAACTACAACCAATCTTTATTACCACATACATGGTGAGAACAACTATGGAGCCAGTGGTACATGCGGTACCTGTGTGAATGAAGACCATGAATTACTTCTTCACTGCTTGGCCAGAATGACCATGAAAACACTTTGTTTCTTTTCCTATAGTTTTTAGAATGGTGCTTCCTAACTTAATGTAGTTAGAAGCATGACAGACTACTTACCTATGGCCTTTTTTGGGAAGGAATTGTTGCTTTGGGGTCTTAATAAGTAAACTATGTTTGTTTAGAAAGGTGTTAGCTGGCCTGCATAACATTTTAAAGGTAGTCATGGTGAAAGCTTAAATTACTTCCTGGGCTTTCTTCTTGGGTAGGGAACCTTTAGCTCTGTGCCTGATGACTGAGGATAGGAGAAACAGCTTGGATATTGCTGGTGTTCTGGGTAGATTCGGAGCGAAGCATCCATTCTGTGCCTTCTCATGCCACATACGACGATTTGGCCTCCATGTTAAGTTAGGATAGCGCTCATAGTGACATTTTGCCCACCTGGATTTCTCTGACTCAAGATGTCCATTTCCTCTTCACGTATCTCATAAAAATATATGTACTCTGACCTACAACCTTTCAGCTTTTTCAGTGCCTCAGCACTACCCAGTTGGTTTTGTCCTTGGAGTCTATCCTTTGGAAAATCTATTCTGTACTTTTGCTTGCAATCCTAACCAGAAAATTGGGGCTGAGGTCACTGCTTACAAGAGAAGTACTGTACCTACTTCCCATCAGCCTGATGTTTGATTTGGCTATGTACTGGAACAACATGCTACTTAAATGTTTATAAGATACATTGGTCGTTCAGAATCTGCAGTGGAGGCAGCTGATCATGTAAACAGTTGTTCACAAGAGGCTTTTCAGGCCTGTGCATAAGCCAGAGGATGAGACGTTAGGGAAAGACTTACCACAGCATTGGAATTATGTCAAGTAAGTGATGACTGCCAGACACAAAGAACCTGTGCAGGGAAAATGGAACCCACAGCCTGGACTTGAGATGTTCATAGAAAACTGCTCTTAGATGAAAATGTTTACAGTGCTTTACACTAAGGTTCTATGTAATGTAGAGAACAAAGCCTTCTACTCTTGGGTATTTCAGCTGTTTGTGTGCTACACTGCTAGACTGTGGGTGGGTACAGGGGAAAATATCTCTTGGGGCTATGGTCCTGAGTTGAACAGAGCATGAAAAGGGATAAGTAACACTGGACATCTGAAGCAGAAATAACTTCTCTGTTCTACTTTTATTGGGACAAACAGCAGAACATTTATATTGCTAGCACTCCCCTCACTAATCAGTAACTGAATCCGTAGTGGACTTGTTATTTATTGCTTGTCACTTACAAAATATTTCCTAGTGAAGCAGAATCATTCACTGACTTACAACTTAGATCATGCATTATTTATTTATAGAACATAATAACAGATTTAATGATATTTAATTCTTCTTGTTGTTTTCAAGTAACCACACTTTCACATTTAGACCAGAGCCTAACTACATAACTGCTTTTCAAAGAATTCCTGGCAGATTGATTTTAAATTATATTTTAAGAAAAAATACTCAGCCAAGCTTAGTGATGCACACCTGTAATTCCAGCACTCGGTACGTAGGCTAAGCTTGGAGGGATTGCAAGCTCAAAGCCCACTTGGGCTACATAGCAAAACCTTGTCTAAATAAATAAACGGGAAAGGGGGAAAAATGAAAAAAATCTAGTCATTAGTTAACTTTGCACAGATATATAGATTGTAAAGCTTTATGATGGAACATGCCTGTAATTCCAACAGTCCAGGAACCTGATGCAGAGGGAGGGCAAGTTTGCTATCCTGGGCAACTTTACAAAGAGTTCATCTTAAAAGAAAATTGAGGAGGAAAAAAAGGACCCTTACTAGTCAGGTACCTCCCATACCAGTATTGGGGGCCTCAGGCAGTGCTTTATGGCGTATAAACATTCTCCAGTTTCCCTTTTTTTCCTTCCTGTCTGCCTTTGATAGTCACTCATAGTGGAGCCATTTGAGGTCAGGATCTCCTCACCATTGCTCTGAAAGACAAGGGTATGCTGCTGCCAGTGCACAGGCTCCCTGGGGCTTCTAAGAATGACCTGTTAGCTGCCTTTCTGAAGAAAGTTTATTTTACATTTTAGTTTATTTTACATTTCTCAGTCAAGAGCCTTTCTTTCAGCTGCTGCTAGCAACTGCTGTCTGTATGAGTCCAAATAGGAATCCATGGAAATTGTAGGGTTAGGAACCAATCTAGAAAACATAAATTTTCCTTAGTGGTTTCTTGCAGGTGCCTGGCAACAAAACTTCTCTTAACTTCAGGGCCAAAAGCTTTATAAAAGACCATATACTGCTTCATGAGCAAGCCCAGAAATTTCTGAACTCCGTGTTAGGGTTGACATAGGACCTTGACTGCGTTTAATTAAAGATAATAGCGGTCATTAATAAGAGATTTGGAAGGGTTTTTTCCATATAAAGCATCTGTGCACTTCATGTGTACACCACATACTCTTAACTTCTCTAGTTAGCACCTTCCAGAAGGCAGACTGAGACCATGGGTTGAAAGTCCCAGGTGTGTAGATTACTCAGCTTTGACTATTCTGCTATCAGTGACTAAATATGCCTGTCTTTCCTGTGTATCTTATATGAAAAGAACAATGTTACTACTTAACATCCATTTTTTAGATCAAGAAGGGACATTATTGACATTTATGTCACTATAGTAAAAATATATTATTACCTTAAGTATGAGTGAGTTATGGTACAAATATTTAAGATTGTATAATTTATTATATTTGTGTTATTTGAGAGTCATATGACTTACTGGCTTTATATTTTTTAAAAAAGTTTGGATTTCTTTTTCTAAGATGAGAATCTTGATACTGCTGTGTTGTCCAGGCTGCTTCAAACTCCTGGGCTCAAGTGATCATCCTGCTTGAATCTCCTGAGTAGCTGGGACTATAGTTTTACTTGGCTCGGAAATCTGCATCTCCTGCTGACAAGTCTCTCACTTAGAACCATTGCTTCATAGATTTATCCCATCTGATTGGTGTTTTGGATCACTTCTTCATTTTTTTCTTGTCTCTACTAAATGGAATTTTCTTATTTTCAATACAGATGCAGAGTTTGCAAGGTGGCACAGAAGCCATAGCTCGACTAGATCAATTAGAAGCTGATTATTATGATCTGCAGCTTCAGTTGTATGAAGTCCAATTTGAAATCTTGAAGTGTGAGGAGTTACTGTTAACAGCGCAGCTGGAAAGCATCAAAAGGCTTATATCAGGTATGGTATGTACATAACCCCGTGGGTGCCCACAAGATTGAAGACATGGCAAAAATGCATAGACTCCAGCTGTGTTTCTTTTAAGACTTAAAAAGCAAACGTCTAAGCCTGGAAGAAATGCTTTTTTAAAAAATGCTATAAAGGAGTCCCTGAAATCAAGTAGGTGGTTTAATAAGACTCAGCATTACACTTACACTTAAATTTTAGGGGCCAGCATTTGAATTTGCGACAATTTTGAATTTTACAATAGTAGAATGGGAGGAAAGGGAGGCCTTAAATTTGCTGTACACATGCATCCTGTGAGATGTATTCGCTTGTTACCACCATTTTACAGAAGAGCTCAGAGATGCTGGCTGTGGCTGAGGCACCAAGCCAGTCAGTGCCTGGTTCTGTCTGATTCCACGGCCCATGCTTAACCAGGACTCTTTGTTGCTGTCTTGTAACAGAAAAGAGAGATGAAGTGGTGTATTATGACACTTATGAGACCATGGAGGCTATGCTGGAGAAGGAGGGGATGACAGCATCCATACATGTACAGAGGGAGGAGCTGTTGAAACTGCAGCAGAAGGCACGCCAGCTGGAGGCCAGGCGGGGCCGAGTCTCGGCTAAGAAAGCGTACCTCAGAAACAAAAAGGTATCCAAGGCCTGCTCTTATCCATTATCTAATCCTTGACCGTGTCTTAATTGTGTTTATCACTAACACTTGCATATTCTTTCTTTCTTTTTTAACACTTGGATATTCTTGAAAGTGATTGTTGCCCCACCTTGATGCATGCATGGTTCATTACATAAACATGGCTTATTTTTCTGATGGTTGGCCTCTTCTGTGTATTCAAACCACCAGCAATGATGTGCTGTCACCTCTAGAATCCCTGAGGCAGGCTTTGCGGAAGGCCTGACTACAGGATCCCATGTAGTGTATTTCCTTGCTCCTTTCTATTCAAGATGGCTAATGGTATGGTCTATGAGCCTTGCTTTTGATTATCATCTGCAGAAATTTACTAGATCATTTGTTACTTATTTTTTAATTTGAATTATATCTCAAATTCTTGCTTACTCTTTTTTTTTTTTAAATGCTTTTTTTTTTTTTTGGCAGAACTGGGGATTGAACTCGGGCCCTTGTGCTTTGCAGGCAAGCACTTATCCTACTGAGCCACCTCCCCAGCCTTGCTTATTCTTAATATTTGGAGTAAGTGCATCTGCCGAAATGAGATTGCTCCTGTACCATGAAAATGTTCTCTTTGCTGAGTAGCATGATTTAGTGATTTGTGTTGGAGAGAGAAGAAGCTGTTCTCTAGTAGCTCCTAGGCTTCTGATAATGCGTTTGTGTGGATGATGATGCCACTTCTCAAAATGGAAAACATGTAGAGCTTGGAGGTGATGAGCCAAGACTTGCATCCGAGAGGTCTTGGGGTAGCCAGATGGAGATAGTTGTGAACCTCATGGGCCATTGTGTACCACAGGCACTCAGTAGGTGATTCATAACAGTGATAAAAGATTGTGAGCTGGTAGAAAAGAGTAAGGATAAGGTGGTGGAGCACAGGACAAAACATTGTTTTAGGTGGAAAAAAAGAACTTCATTACACTTAATATTTTTTTAATTCGGAATGCAAAGGTCAGCAAATACTCTTAGCTGGGGAGTAAGACATCATATAGGTATAGCTTATGAAAGATTAAGCAAGGCCTGACACATTCTTGAAGTCAAGAACCCTTTGGGAATGAAGCTAGGGGAGCATCTGAGAATATGTGTGGAAGAAAAGGTACAATTCAAACAGAAATTAAGCATAAAAAAGGGAGATTATGAAGTCACAGAAGTGAAGAGAGAGAATTTCATGGGGCAGGGTAGTCAACAGTGTCAGATGTTCAATGGAGGAAGCCAAAGGAGAAAAGATGGTGTGTGAGTGTTCTGTGTCATTTAATCACAGTCGTCCTGGACGGGTGGCAGCAGAGGGAGCTGGCTGCACACTGGGACAAGATGAGCAAGAGAGACAGATAAAGAGTCTGAATCAGACTGACCTGGTCCCTGTGCTCTCCCCCTTTGGGATATATAATGCATTATCAATGATAATCTGAACAATATTCTTTCTGCCTCATGAATGTAAATCTGAGATGAAAGAACTGACACCTACTGAGTTGTCCTTTTACACATGCATCCTACCCCCAAGCCTACCAATCAAGGTACTAGGAATACAGAGGGAGTGAGGAGTGATAGAAGACTGAGAAGAAGGAAAACCTGAAATACTAAAATTCTAAAAAGAAAGCTATCAGAAATAAGGGAGGGAAGGAGAATGGGGAAGAAAAGAGGAGTCAAGGGCAGGGGATATAGCTCAGCAGTATAAGCATCTGCCTGGTAAGTGCAAGGTCCTGAGTTCGATCCCTGGTACTGCAAAAAAAAAAGAAAAAAGAAAAGAGTCAAGATTCATCATGTATAGGTATAAATTCCCTATGATGAATGTGATCATTATGGATATCTAAATTGTACCAATAAGATTACTAATTTTTTTTTTTATACCAGGGATCGAACTGAGGACCTTGCACTTTCCAGGCAGGCACTCATGCCACTGAGCTAGCTCCCCAGCCCAAGTTTAATTTTTAAAAACAAAAATTATATGCTCAGGCTGGGTGTAGTGGTAGACACCTGTAATCCTAGCACTCTGAAAGCTGAAACAGGAGAATTGTCATGAGTTGGAGACCAGCTTGAGCTATATATATAGCAAGACCCTGTCTCAAAAATAAAAAAAACAAACAAATCTTAAAGAGGTTGAGACAGGAGGATTGCTGAAAGTTCCAGGCCAACCTGGACTATATAGTGAGTTCAAGCCCAGCCTGAACTGCACAGCTAGACTCTTTCTCAAAAACCCAAAACGTTAAGTAAATTTTTAAAAATAAGAAAATAAGAATAAAGCCCATAAAATGATCGAAGTTGGCCTTTCATGATGACATACAAGTTTGGCAATAAAAATACAAGATGTAGAAAATGACCAGCTGGGGTCTGTGCTGATGGAAATCTGCCTGGTGGTCGACTAGGTGCTTCATAAGGGCAGTGAGGGTGGGGAAGCCTGCCTCCTGCATCTGGCCATCCAGCTGACAACAGTGATGGCTTCCTATAGCCTACAGGGACTTAGCTGGTCTCAGGCTAGGGCAGAGGGCACAGAAGCCCCACCCCGAGGTTTCTTTCCTCACCTGGATTCACCTCCCGTGAGGCGAGAGGAAAATCTGAGATGCAGGCCAGACACAGGCTGAGCTGCTCAACAGAACCTTCACTGAGCTGGGATTCCTGTACATGCCTGAGACCCAGTGCTCTGAGGCTGAGGCAGGAGGGTCACACATGCAAGCTCAGCTTGAGCACCTCAGGGACTGAAGAAGGCACTGTCTCACTTAAAAAAAAAAAAAAAAATTATAGGACAGTTTCAATAATTAATACATTGGGCTGGGGAGATAGCTCAGTAGAAAAAGTGCTTGCCTGGCAAGTTAAAGGTCATGAGTTCAATCCCCAGTACTGCCAATAATAATAATAATAATAATAATAATAATAATAATAATAATAAATACATTATACATTGTTATCTTCTTAGTGGTTATCCCATAATACAAGATGCAGACAGGATGTCCTATCCAAACAGTACTAGTACAAATCTTTCTTCTCATTGAATTAAGTGAAAGTAGCTGTATGTCTATCCTAACTGTTCTGTATGTACAGATACAAAATAATCCGTCTTTCATACTCCCTTTTTATTTAGCCCTGTCAGAGATGGGTATTCCATTGGCATCTAAATACTATAGGTGCGTGAATTCAGCAAAACAACCCAACACAGTCCAGCAGTCCACAATAGTAGTGGGTTATCCACAGAAGTTGTTGACTTGAGGGGCCGGGGAGATGGCTCAGTGGAATAAGTGCTTCCCTGGCAAGTGCAAGGGCCTGAGTTTAATCCCTGGTTCTGGCAAAAAACAACAAAACAAAAAAGAAGTTGTTGACTTGAGTCTTTCACAGTTCAGCATATTAATATGGCTTTACTTTACATACCTTGTTTTTATACTTTTCTGCTGGATGGTTAAGACCAAGATAAAGTAAGACCTGTATAACAAGAAATGTAACTTTTGTATCTGATGAAGTCAGTCAAGTCTCCTCAGGATTTATCCTGTAATCCTGTCCGCACTTTGTAGATCCTTTGTCAGTGTCAGCGATGTGGATGAGTCACGGCCATTGCTTGACCAATTTGCTCTCTGTGAAAGCCGGAGAGAATGTTTTCTCTCCATGTGACTCTCCTTAGGCACACTCTACATCATCGATAATGTTGCTCTGTGGCCCCATAATCTCCTTGATCAGAAAATTTGGGACACAACTGAGTTACATGATGTTACAGTACAGGTTCTCCTATGTCCTGAGTCTTCACTGACCTTGAAAGGCTAGGGTCAAAATGTTGGCTGTCCTTGCAGCCCTTTTATTTCTCTAATTTTTGTTCTGCAAATTTAGGTTGTTAACCCTCCAGAAGAGAAGCTTATTGTTATTACCCTACAACATAGGCATTTGGGTTTAACTTCACTATCTGTCAGAATATCAAACATCTTAGGCATAACATGGAACAGGTATTTTCCATCAAGTATTGTTAAGTTAAACATTAAGTCCCTACAGAATATGGATATAAAAATTTAAAAAATGAAAAATATTTAAAGAATATGAATAAACACATATTTTTACACAGAAATTTAAAAATCTAACCATATACAGAATTGTAGCAGGACAGTCCTGTGACATGTTTTTTTTCTTTTTCTTGTGTCTTTTTTTCATTTATTACCCATTCAAAAAGAAAAAAAAGACGTAACTTTTACTTGTGAGAGAGTATGGTAATAATTGATATGTCATGACAAGAAGTAGGTATTTAGAAGACCAGAATGACAGGCATTCCAAGCGTGACCCTTCTATTACACATTGCTATCTTCAGTGCAGTTGCTTGGTTCACAGGTATCAGCATGCATAGTTAACCAGGGTGAGAATCCTACCAATTAACTGCTAGTTTCAATAACCTGCTGATGTTTCTCAGGATCACTGCCTTGCCCACCTTGTGTGTATAAATGTATGGCTTTGTCCCTGTCCTGTTTCCCAGCTTTTCTCCTTGCCCTCTCCTCATTGTCCAGTCCTCAAGTTCTCGCTTTCCTTTTAATTGTGTTATACCTTTCTATTTGTATTTCTTCTTTTGAGTTGTTATACTAGGGAGACTATACGATATTTACACAATTGGGTCTGGTTTATTTTACTTATGAGTATATCTTCAAGTGGCATCCACTTAAATATAAATGCTTCAAGTTTATCATTCTTTATAACTGAGTAATACTCCATTGCATAAAAATACCACATCTTTTTCAGCCATTCCTCATGTGACAGGAATCTTGGTTGTTTCCAAGATCTGGCTATCACAAATTGTGCTGCTTTAAACATAGGTACACATATATCACTATGATAAGAGGGGGAAGATTTTGAGGGAAATTTGTGTCAGTTTCTTTTTACTGTAATAATTTTTTAAAATTTAGGCTGGGGAAATTGCTCAGTGGCATAAATGTCTGCCTGGCAAGCATAAAGTTCTAAGTTTGATCCCTGGTACCAATACATACATACATACTATGAATAAAAATTGAACATTTACTCATATTATGATCATTCCTTGTATTCTTAACCTTGTGTAGAAGACTTCCCTTAAGGATAGTTACATAACGAAGGACATAGGCAAATTAAGATTGTTTGCTATTACAGGCATACTATAATCTGATTATAGGTATATATTATTTTATAAAAAGCACTTATGTGCTGCTGCTCTTTGCCATCCAGCGGAAAGGCAGCCTTCTGAAAACATCAGTGTGTCCTTATCCTTCTTACTCACTTCATGTGACACCCCTGCAACTTATAACAAAGATCTCTTTTTATATGGTGATTAGAATGCACATAAATTTGGAATAATGTTAAAGGTTTAAAAGTAATTCTGACTTTTTTTTTTTTTTTTTTTTTGTGGTACCGGCTGTTGAACTCAGGACCTTGCATAGTTCTGACTTTTTAGTCTTTAGCAGTATCTTAGCTCTGAGAAGTATGACCAGAATATTCAAACTGTATAAATATTTAAATTAGTCCAGACAAATTCATGATCTTTAATTCGTCAGTGAAGACTGAAGAATACAGACTGTGCTGACAGCTGTATATTCTTTTTTGCCACTTGTTTAAAAAATATAGTGAGACCAGAATCTTTTGGCCAAACTTCATAGCTGAAGCAGAGACTTTTGAGATTATCTAAAGATTTCCCCTCCACATGGCCACATGTCTCCTCTGAAAGAAGCAGTAGGAGGTCAAGAGAAATTAATAATTTAATAGAAGAGTCTTATTTATAAGACCCTCAATATTTGATTTATACTTCTGCAGCAGTACAGGTAAGAAACAAGTGGATTTTAATTGATTCTGTGCTGTGTAAAGTATATATTAAAGTTACCCACACACTTACATGCCAAATAAACTTTGGGGGTCATTTTTTAACTTTCACTTGCATTAAAACATACTTTATTTATTTATAGGAAATTTGTATTGCAAAACACAATGAAAAATCCCAGCAGCGTGTTCAGAGTGCAGATGAATACAGAACCCATCACACAGTACAACTGGTAAGTTTGACTACCAGATATGGGAAAAAAACTTAATTTTTACAATTCTACAGCTGAGTAAATCTATTACAGTAACACTGTAATAGTGTTTTGCTACCCTGAACATCCCTTTGTTCCACCTATTCATCCATCTCTGCCCCTAGGCCCCTTGCTATCATGGTTTTACTGTCTTCATAGTCTGGGGTTTTCTGTCCTACATGGCAGGCATAGTAGCCTATTCATACTGGCTTATTTCACTTAGTAGTAAGAATTTAATCCTTTGTCTCTTTGTGCCTCAGTGCCTCATATTTAGTGTTGAATAATATCCTCTTAAGTAAACAGTGTATCCATTCACCTGTTAAGGGACATCTTGGTCTCTTCTAAGCCTTAGCAATTATAAATAAAGCTTCTATAAACATCCATGTAACATTTTTTGGTACACACATGTTTCAAGCCATTTGGTTAAATACCAAAGGCATTGATTGCTGGATTGTTTTTTTTTTTTTTTTTTTTTTTTTTTTTTTTTTTTTTTTTTTTAATTTTTTTTAAATTTATTTATTTACTGTGTGTGTGTGTGTGTGTCCAGCTCAGCCCACCAGGGGGTGGGGCTGGCTGGCATGTGGTGCTGGGGATTGAACCGCGGTCGCTGTGCTTTTGCTTAGCTTAGCTTGTTCTAAGTAGGTGCTTTAGACCACTGAGCCATCTCACCAGCCCCTGATTGCTGGATTGTATGTTAAGAGTATATTTAATTTTGTGAGAAGCTGCCAAACCTCCCTCCAAAGTGACTGTTTCAGTTTGCGTTCTCACCTGCAACATACAGACAGGAGTTGGGGTTCTTCACACCTGTCTAGCTTGTGCTTTTTTCAGGGTTCTTAATTTTTGCTGTTTTAAGAGGTGTGTAATAATACCTCTTGCTATATGATGTTGAACATCTTTTCATATTGTCATTTGCATATCTTTTGTAAATTGTTCATTTGCTTGTTTGAGGTTTTGTTTTCTTTCTGTCTTAGGAGTTTGAGCATCCTTTCATATACTCATTTGCCATCTGCATATCTTTTTTGCAAGTTGTTCATTTGTTTGTTTATTGAGGTTTTGTTTTCGTACTGTGTTTTAGGAACTCTGTATGTTTTGGGCAATAATTCTTTAGCACACATCTTTTGCGAATGTTTTCTCCCAGTCTGTAGCTTCCTTCCAAGAAAGTTTTGCTTTTAGCAGAGTCTAAGTTTTAGAGTTTGTGTCTAGACATCATAGATGGAGCCTTTTTCTTTTCTTTTCTTTTTTTTTTTTTTTTTTTGCGGAACCGGGGATTGAACTCAGGACCTTGTGCTTGCCAGGGAAGCGCTTATTCCACTGAGCCATCTCCCCAGCCCCTAGCCTTTTTCTTTTAATTTTATTTTAAAGAGAAAATCAAAACAAGAGACAACTAGGCAATGATTAATAAATTATATATTGTTATTTTTAAATTACTCAGAGTATAAGATATTGGAATGTAATTGTATAATTAAGAAAAATCAGTGTAACTAAACTATCTCTTCTGTGTGTTGCTTTTTCCTTTTTTTCATCCTTTCCCACATCCCAGTTTCTTTTTTCTTTTGAAAAGTTTCTTCTATTTCACAATATGTATTGTACAGATAGATATTATACAATTTGAACTTACTTTATAGCCCAGGGTGTCCTCAAACTGAACTTGCAGCAGTCCTCCAGCCTTAGCCTCCCAAGTACAGAGATTATAGTTGTTTACCACCAGGCCGGCCCAGTACAGTGTCTTGTTCTAATATTACCTACTTCCTCAGTGTTTCTGATCCATGTCATGCCCAATCAGTGTCTGCCCTTTTTTAGAAATAATACATTGTTCCCAGCAGTTTGAGGCCAGCCTGGGCAATATAAGTGAAGTTTAAAGCCAGCCTGCACTACATGGTGATACCCTATTTTAAAATAAAATAATGATTATCATATGTTGGTAAGAAAATGTTAGCTGGGCATGGTTGACATGCCTATAAGACCAGCGCTGGAGAGGCTGAGTCAGGATTGCTGTGAGTTCAGGGCCAATCTGGACTACAAAGTGAGTTCAAGGTCAGCCTGAACTACATAGAAAAAACTTTGTCTCAAAAAGATGGGGAAAAAGAAGTTTTAAGCCATGTGTGGTGACACACTTATTATGTAAGCACTCAGGAGTCAGAGGCAGAATGATCACTGCAAATTCAGTACAATTCATAGTAAATTCTTTTTTAAAATTATTTATTTGTGTGTGTGTGTGTGTGGCCAGCTCAGCCCACCAGGGGGCAGGGCTGGCTGGCATGTGGTGCTGGGGATTGAAACGTGGTCCCTGTGCTTTGCTAAGCTTGTTCTAAGTAGGTGCATTAGACCACTGAGCCATCTCACCAGCCCTGTAAATTCTTGTCTGAGAAAACAGAAAAATAAAAAATGTTTTACTGAAGGTTGCTGTAGAGAATAGTATATAACTTAAATTTCCTAAGGTGAGCATACCTGCGTAGCTCCCCCAACCCCTAAAAAATGTTAACAGAAACCAGAGTCTCTTAGGTTACCTCCAGCAGCTATATCCCTCCAACACTCAGAGACCAGTTAACTTATATTCTGGAATCAGTAAGTGCTTTGATCAGAGTCACCTAGGTAAAGGGGGAAGCTGGTGTTGAGTGCAGCCTGCCAGTTACAGCTGTGCTCTTGGGCATTTAATGCTCTACTCTGTACAGTTTGTTTCCTCACACAACCTCATCGTTTCATCCCTAGAGAGTCAAACCATTCTTCCAGATTAACATGTAACTTGACTTTCAGTATACAGCTGAGAGATGAGCAGTGTAGTGATTCTGTGGTTACTTCATCTCTGATATTTTGTGTTGGGAGATGCATGCTCACAGTTGAAACACAATCTAAATATCTTAAATAGCTGTGAATAATAAATGGACTTTTCTTGATGTCTCATCACAAGGGCCTAGTGTAGAAAAGCCTCTTTACAGCTACCGTTTGGCCCCCATGAACATATATACTAATATTTTTTTTAAAAATGGGCTGGGGAGATAGCTCAGTAGAATAAGTGCCTGCCTGGAAAGCACGAGGTCCTGAGTTCAATCCCTGGTACTGGGAGAAAAAAAGAAGGGGTGTTTTATTTCTATTGCCACTATCATGTAGAAGCTGCCACCCCCCTGTCAAGTATGAAGTATGTAGCCATCTCTGTATCCTGTCCCACTCTTCCCTACTATTTCTCACCTTGGCATGGGGCCTACACTGTCCCTAAACAGAGGGCTCATCTGGTATCTCCCTCCCCTGGCCATTCACAAGCCTTGTTTTGTTTACCTTGTGAATTTTGGAAGCCTGCCCTTTCACAGGCTGTTTGGATTGTTACATAGTCCTCCTTTCTTATTTTTTAGTTTGTTGTTGTTTGTTTTTGAGACAGAGTCTCTATGCAGTTCAGGATGGCCTCAAACTCATGGCTATCCTCTTGCCTCAGCCTGCTGAATGCATGGATTACAAGTGCACAGCACCATGCCTAGAGAAGCATGTTTTCTCTACCTGTTGTTGGAAATATGTATAATATCTAAGTCATTAAGCAGTTGGTTGCTAACTTTTAAAGACTTTTTTTTAGGTTTTTCCAGTACTGAGGATGGAACTCCGAGGGTCTTTGCACTGAGCTACTATATCTCCTGTGTTTTTTTTAAATCATTTTCTTTTTATTTTTAGGTAGGGTTTCAGTATTCACTGTGTTGCCCAGAATTAGCTGGAACTTGTAATTCTCCTGCTTCATCCTCCCAATACGCTGGTATTACAGGCATGGCCCACCACATCTGTCTTAATTTTATTTTTAAAGTCATCTGTATTTGAGTTAGTAGAATATGGCATCTTAGAAGCATTTTATTCTAAAACTGTTTAGGACTAAATCAAGGTAATTTAGTTCATCATATCAACATGAATTATAAAACAATGATTTGTGTTAAAGCATTGCATTTCAGGTGTCATAGTACACATGTGTAATCCCAGCATTGAAGAGGCTGAGGCAGGAGGATCCTGGGTTTGGAATCAGCCTGGGATACATATCGAGACCTGACCTTATCTTGGAAAACAAATGCAAAAGCAAAATACAGAGTGCTCATTAAAACATTTCAGGACTCATCTGTGCTACATTGTAAGAGTCCTCCACTCCCCACCCCCAGCACAGCATAATGAAACTGTTATTCTTTACCAGAAAAGAGAAAGATTACATGATGAAGAGGAAAAAAAAAGTGCCTGGGTGAGTCAAGAGAGGCAGAGGACCCTGGACAGACTCCGGATGTTCAAGCAGGTAATAGCATGTCACCCACTTGTTTCTCTCATTACCCTTTCTGTTTTTTTGTTCTTTTTGTTTTTGTTTTTTTTGAAATATGGTCTTGGTGTTCCTCCAAACTGGCCTTGAATTTGCTGTATAGCCCACACTAACCATAGACCTCACAATCCTGCCTCATCCTCATGCGTGGTGATATTTTGAACATGTGCCACCATGTCTAACTTTAATTGCTTTCACACAGAGCTTGACATGCTTTTTTGGTGGTGGAACTCAGGCCCTTATGCTTGCCAGATAAGTGTTTATTCTACTGAGCCATCTCCCTGGGCCCTTCACATGCATTTCTATTGCAGGATTTCTATTTGGAATATATTATCATTACAGTTAATACTTTTTGTGTCTTTTTTTCCTGCATATTTATTTTACTTTTTATTTCATTTGTTGTGTTATTTTATTGTGGATTGGACACAGGGTCTCACTGGTAGCTCAGGCTGGCCTTAAACTCACAGTGATCCTCCGGCCTCCCTAGTGTTAAGTCACACTTCAGTCCTTGGGCCATGAGTTACCCTCTTCACAGGGCCATGTGAGCTTGGAGCAAGACCAAGCATCACCATGGGAAGAGGAGTAACAGGCAGGAGCACAGAGGCTGTTGAGGAAGTGTCTCCTACACACCCTGGCCAGCCTCCTACCACATCCCATCATCTTCAGAGGGCCTCCTAACATGACAAGGAATCTTTTATGAAATACCTGTGAGCATTTGAAAATACCAGTAGCAGATGTTTTGTTATGTTGCATGTTTTACATCCAATTTATTTTTCCTTTAAAACAAAAACTTTTTTTTTTTTTTTTTTTTTTTTTATGAAACTGGGGATTGAACTCAGGCCCTTGTACTTGCCAGGGAAGCGCTTATTCCACTGAGCCATCTCCCTGGCCCAAAACAAAAACTTTTAATCATTCATTTATTTGGTACAGGGTCACACTATGCAGCTTGAACTTGTAGCGATTCTTCTGTCTCAGCCTCCCCACTGCTGGGATTACAGGCATACACCACCATGCCCAGTTTTGGTGACTTGCTCAGTATGCCTAGGGTTCTGGGGCTGGCACAGTGTCTGTACCAGGAATCAAACCTGGGTCCTTGCGCTTGCCAAGCAGGTGCTTAGACCACTGAGCAATCTCCCTAGCCTATTTTTCCATTTAAATTAGTAGCTTAAATTATTGTTAAGATTATCTAATTTTGGACAGTTGGCTTCGTAAGTAGGTAAGCAGGAACGAGACCTTATATCTAATAAAAAAGGAATTGTGGTAATTTCTGGAGCAGTATTAGGCATCAATATTCTACTGTTGTTACTTTCCTGGAAAGTCAAGTAAAATCCAAAATAACCTTTGAGTTAAAAGAGGATCAGCAGGCATTTGTTCAGATGTCATGGTTTTAGTGTAACTCATCCTTTGTAATCACTTTTGCTATTTTAGAAGTATCCTGGGCAAGTCATCCTCAAGTCAACCAGGTTACGACCAGTTTATGCTAAGAGGAGGAGTGCAGTGAGTCCCGGGCCCCGAGAGGACCAGTGTGACTCTGTGTCAGGGCCATTGCAGGGGGAACCCACCCAGCCGGAGGGAGGCTGTGACCAGCCTGGGCCCCTACAGCCAGCAGCACCCCAGGAACTCCAAAGTTTTGCCCAGCTTGAAGACTCTTCACTAGTACAACTTGAAGCCATGTCATTACCTCTCAGTGGGGCCACCTCTGAACCACCTCCCACTGCATCTCTTCCACTTTTGGATAGTAGTGACCTCAGACCACGTTCTGTCACCGCACATCCACTACTACCACCAGTTCCTCCCCCGCCCCCACCCCCACCCGCTCCACCTCTGCCTGTTGCAAAGGACAGTGCTGTCACTGCAGAGACACTGGAGACAGGGCTGCCCAGGAAGGAAAGGACCGAGAAGCGGATCCCAAAGTCAGCCAGTGCCCCTTCAGCACACCTGTTTGACAGCAGCCAGTTGCTCAGTGCCCGGAGAAAGCTAAGGAAGACTGCAGAAAGCCTGCAGAGGAGGAGAGGTAAGCTACACAGACATTTGCGTGAGTGCCTGCTAGACATAGTCACCTGCTGCACAGAGCTCAAGACATTAATTGATAGCACAGAGGTCTCAAGGTCACAGCAGAGGAGAATTCTTAACAGCCTGTAGCAACAAATATGTACAGACACAAAGATGTGAGCTATCACAAGTCATCATGTTTATGTTTTCTGACATAATGACTTTTGACCTATTTGATGATGGTTCCTTTTGTTTTGTAGAGAAAAATCTGATTTTAAAACTAGAAAATAAAATACTTATGGGATAGGAGTGTAGCTCAGCAGTGGAGCACTGCCTGGCATGTGTGAAGTATGTTCAGTCCCCAGAACTAGTGAGGAGGGGGGAAATATTCAGAAAGTGCCAGGCAGGGCAGCACATACTTATAATCCTAATTCTTTGGGAGTCCAAGACAAGAGGATGGCAAGTTTAATGTCAGCCAGGGCAATGTAGGGAGACTGTCTCAAAATAGAAAACGTAAAAGGTTTAGGGGTGCAGCTCAGTGTGAAGCCCGGGGTCCATCCCTACAACCACAGTGGGGTAAGGTGGGGGACCTGTGGGGATGTAGAGAGACATTAGCGAGATCATGTAATATTTAGTCACAATTTAGTATTAAGTACTTTATTATAGTATTTGTATAAAAAGGTAAAGAATGGAGAGAATATGTACAATTTATTGCATATCAAATACTCTTCAGTAAAGTTACTTTCAGAAATATTTTTTTGGGTGGGGGCGGAATTGGGGATTGAACTCAAGCCCTTGTGCTTGCCAGGGAAGTGCTTATTCTACTGAGCCATCTCCCCGGCCCTATAAAATATTTCTTACAATATTCAGAATAAAATTTCAAAGCACAGTCAGCATAGTGAGTGAATGTTCAGGTTTTCCCGGTTAAAGTTCAATCCAGTCACTGAACAGGGAAGTCTTCCAAGCCATGCTGAGACCGCCTCCAGCTTAGCCTGCTCGCTGCTGTCCTCTGGAAAAATGACAGCAGAGCAGCAGTGCCTACACTGTCATTTGCCAGGAATTTTAAAATGAAGACAAAACAGGGTACCTTCTGCCCTGACAGCCTCTGCCCACAGTTTCTGATTTGATTTGTAGCTGGTGTTTCCACATCTGGGTTATTGTACTCCAGAATGTGAGTGATGACTTTGATGTGAAGCGTGATCCTAACTGTGGTTATTGTTTCATTTTCCAAAGTGAGCTCACCCATGGACGAGGTGCTAGCATCCTTGAAGCGTGGTAGTTTTCACCTGAAAAAGGTTGAACAACGAACTCTGCCTCCTTTTCCTGACGAAGATGATAGTAATAATATCTTGGCACAAATAAGGAAAGGGGTCAAATTGAAGAAGGTACCGAAGGAAGTTTTGAGAGAGTCTTTCACACTGCTGCCCGACACAGACCCCCTAACACGGAGCATCCATGAAGCTCTGAGAAGAATTAAAGAAGCATCCCCTGAGTCGGAGGATGAGGAGGAGACCTTACCCTGCACAGACTGGGAGAACTAACAAGTAAATGGCTGCTGTCTTTGGCAGCGTTCAGTAGTAATGCTTGTATTGGTTGGTGGGATCCAGTATTTCTCCTTTAGTCTGAGGCCTGTTGGGTATTAAATAGCCTAAATATAGCTTGGATTATAGATTTGTAAATTTCAGATCTTAATTCTGTAGTTTACTGAAACTAAAATAACACAAAAATCACTGTTTAAGGACTACATATAAATTGATTTTTAACATTTTGATCAGAATTTCTACAGTATAGCTATAATCCAAGTAAAGGAATAGTCTCTTGCCTTAAACAAAACAGCTTTTTCTAACTGAAATACTTACAGTTTGAGTTTTGATATCTTAGCTAACTGCAAAGTTTTCTAAAATCAGTTAGTAGAGTTGTTGCATTCTCTGATTATATACCTTTCTTTCTTCTTTTCTTCCTTTCTTTCTTTTCTTTTTCTTTTTTGCGACAAGGTTTTGCTATGCAGTTAGGGCTGGCGTTAAATTCAAGGCCTAGGCTGGGCCTTGAACTTTCAGCATCCTCCTTTCTCAGTCTCCCAAGTACTGAGATTACAGATGTACACCACCATGCCTGGATGATTATGTAGCTTTCTAAACTCTTAAAACTACTCTGGCACATCACAGTTACTGCATTGTTTGTTTATATACATTCGAGGCTGTGGCTCATGAATGTAGGAGACTTGCATCATGATCTCGAGGCTCTATGTGTGCTGTTACCTTTGTTTGCATGCATAGCATTCCATTTGATTACAGTATGTAAAGTAGAACAAATTATCATTTACCGATACCATAAGCTATAAGTTAAATAGTGTGTAGGATTAGTAATGATTACAACTAAAATGCAATACCTTGTGCATACATGTTCTTGATTTTTGTTCATTCTTCACAGCATTGACCAAAAAGGAAAGACCAAAGTTCTGGAGGGAGATAAAGTGTATATTAGCTTACTGGTTAACACTGTGATTCTTATTCTCAGAGCAAACCTGAAACTTGTTAAAAATGAGTATTTCTGGCTTTGAGAAAATCTAAGAAGATACGATATGTATGCAGATACACAACTCGATTTTGAAGACTTGGAACAAAAAACATGTCAGTTTTTATGTATGGATTACATTCTGAACAATATTATTGGGTTGTATCAAACAATATTCTTTGGTCCTGGCTGATTTTTCCTTTGGGCACATATCTATCAGGAAATGGACCCTCTAATACCTCTCCACCTCCCACACCCCATTCACACCTGTACCACTTTTTTTTTTTTTTTAATGTATTTAGTACAGGTCTACAAGGTCTCACTATGTAGATTGAACTTTTGATTCTCCTGTTTTCATCCTCCCAAGCGCTGGAATTATAAGCATGTGCCACCATATCCAGTCTCAATTGGGCAGGGCCAGCATGACATGCTGGAGATTGAACACTTGGCTGCTTCATTCTCCATAAGCAGGTGCATTAGTCTGCTAAGCTATCTGGCCTGCCCCATGTGCACCACTCTTTTTTTTTGGTCTTATTTCTGATTTTATTTTATTTTTTTTATTAATGTTATTGAGAAGCAAATAGTAATGAGACGGTTTCAAAACAGGATAGTAGGACAGTTATAATAATTAATACATTGTATATTGTTGTCTTTGTAGTAGTTATTCATAATACAAGATGCAGACATGATATCCTGCCCATGCACTATTAGTACAAATCTTCTCACTGAAAAATTTTTTTTTTTTTTTTTTTTTTTGGCAGAACCGGGGATTGAACTCAGGGCCTTGTGCTTGCCACGCAAGCACTTATCCTAATGAGCTATCTCCCCTGCCTTGCACCACTCTTGACATTAAAAAATCACACTCTTCTTAGTCTACATCGCCTCACTGTGATTCAGCCCCGGGTCAATATTTCTGTCAGTAGTATTTTGGTCAGTGTTGTTACATATAGAGGCCTTAATTATAATCACTTCATTTAGCTTTCTGTTTTTTTGATTCCCAAAATAATTTGAAACTCTTTTCTTGTCTGTATGATGCTATGTGTAGAGTACACACATGTATATATATGTGTTTCTGCTCCATATGTAAAGTTTTCTTGTTTACATTCTTGCTATTTGTTATTATTCATCTCCCCCTGCTTGTAGCCTTCAGGCTGATGCTCAAGCCTGCACCTAAAGCTACTATCTTAGCAATAAGATTGGCAAGTCCACAGCTGGGCCTTCATGTGTCTGTGTACAGTATTCAGTTTTTTTAAACTGAACCTGGCCTGCCTTGGCCTTTTCTTGTTTACTCAGCTGTCATGGCTATTACTGTCTTCTCTCATGGCCAGATCTGCCAGATACACAGACATTAGAAAGCAGTGACATTCTGTTACTAACCTGTAGCTAGCCTAGTTATTTTTGCATCTGGGTGCATGGTTAGTGTTAATCTCAAAACTCTAAGCAGAATGTGTATAGTATACCACTGGTAAGCTATGTAGAACTTGGTTAGAAGGTGTAGGGTGACTGTATGGATGGTGTGTTGGACAACAATATATAAGGTCTGGTTTCTGCAGACTGACTCTTAAGACCCAGACAACTCAGAGGAGTGGTGGGGTCACTGTTTTGTGATCAGAGAACAATCATAAAAAATTCCTAACTTTTAGCTAGAGTTTATATTTCTTCTCTTCCTTTTTTCTTTTTTTTTTTTTTTTTTAATCTGTTTGATACAGGGTCTCAGTACACAGCTCCGACTTGGTGATCCTCCTGTTTTCAGCCTCCTCAGTGCTGGGATTACAAATGTGCAACACCACACCCAGTCTCAGTGGCCAGCTCAGCATGCCCAGGGGCCGGGCTGGGGCCATCACTAGCACCTGTACCAGCATAGCATATGGTGCCAGGAATTGAACCCTGGTCCCTGTGCTTGCCTATGCAGGTGCTTAGTCTGCTGAGCTATCTTGCCAGCCCTATAGTTTATATTTCTGTTCTTAAAGATTTTTATACTTTTATGTTTTTTTGTGGAACCAGGAATTGAACTCAGGCCCTTGTGCTTGCCAGGGAATCATTTATTCTCCTGAGCCATCTCCCCAGCCCCCTTTTATGGTATTTTAAGACATTGAGTTTGTCAAAACTCATGAGGTACAGAGTGAGTTCCAAGGCTAGGGATTCTGCTTAAAGCCCCTGCACTGAATGAACCAGGGAGCAACGGGCACAGGGAACAGGGCTCCTCCTCTTTTCCTCCTCCCCCCATGTGTTCTAGACCTGAGGAATTGCTTTTAGTTACAGACTATAACCATTTTCCACAGTAATTGCTATGGGATTTTTCTTAAAACTGCCAAGTTTTAAGCTGTGCATTAGAAATATAGTGTGAGTCACATTAAAAGAAAAGAATGTGTGAAATACTGTACTTGACACAGTGAAGCCAAAATAGTACCCTTTTATATGCAACCTGTGTAAAATCCAGTGCCGTTGTGTTCTCACTCCTGCTCCTGTGTCCATCTATGAATGGAGCCCAGGCTTCACCTCACATGCACCCTGTAGCTTTCACACACAACTCTAGGAAGTGTGATGTCTTCAAAATTCAGGTCTGTGGGGCCGGGGAGATAGCTCAGAGGAAGAAGTGCTTGCCTGGCAAGTGCAAGGTCCTGAGTTTGATCCCTGGTACCACCAGGAAAAAAATAAATAAATTCAGGTCTGCTTCTCAGTGCAGTCTTTACTACACATTTGCTAATAGCACTTCTTAGTTTGAATGTATTTCATGGTTAAAGTGAAATGTCCCACCAAAACAAGAATTTATTTATTGGAAAAATATTCTTAGTTGTTTGAGATGCTAAATTTAAATCAAACTAAAAAATGTAGTCTCTCATTCATACTACATTTTAGGTGCTCACTAGCCATATATTGTAGCTATAGTTCAAGTGTCAGTTCCTGTCTGATAGGTAGGTCTTTGTATGTGTATTGTGTGTTTTGTATGTGCTTGGGTAAGAGCATGTATCTTTTTTTTTTTTAATTTTATTTATTTATTTATTAGAGAGAGAGAGAGAGAGAGAGAGAGAGAGAGAGAGAGAGAGGCCAGCTCAGCCCACCAGGGGGCAGGGCTGGCTGGCATGTGGTGCTGGGGGATTGAACCGCGGTCCCTGATGCTTTTGCTAAGCTTGTTCTAAGTAGGTGCTTTAGACCACTGAGCCATCTCTCCAGCCCAAGTGCATGTATCTTAACATAGTACTTTGAATAATAAAATAGTCCTGGTAAAGTATTGATCTTCTTAAAATTGATTTGTTGATTGAGGCATCATTTTTCTCTATAGTTTATGGCAATCTTGAATTTTATGTTGCCCAGGCTGGCCTTAAACTTCCAGTGATCTTTCTGCCTCAGCCTCCCAAATGCCAGGATTATTATCATAATTTTTTTTTTTTTTTTTTGCGGAACCAGAGATTGAACTCAGGGCTTTGTGCTTGCCAGGCAAGCGTTTATTCTACTGAGCCATCTCCCTGGCCCTCAGGATTATTATCATGTACCCATCAAAGTATCGATTTAAAGGCTGTTTTTTATCTGTCTCTCAAATCTCATTAAGACAAAAACAGACCCAGGCATGGTGGTGCATGCCTATAATCCCCAATGCTAAGGAGGCTGAGGCAGGATGATTGTCAAAGTTTGAGGACTACTGAGTGACTCCAAGGCCAGCCTAAGCTACACAGTGAGATAATCTTGTCTCAAAAAAAAAAAAAAAGTCTGTATTGAATTTTAAGGATATCATTTAATAGTTTTTATGCTGCTGGCAGTTTATGGGGTACATATTTAGTTTGGATTTATTCCTTAATAAATTTTGACATAATATTAGAAAAAAGGAATAAAAATGAAAATGATTGTAACTTTTTAAATGATCAAAATCTGTATTAAAGGTGTTTTCTGTTTTTAAACGTGTGTGTGTGTGTGTGTGTGTGTGTGTGTGTGTGTGTGTGAGAGTGTCTTTGGGGCAAAGTCTGCCATGCAGTTCAAGCTGGCTTTGAGCTGACCTTGTAGCCCAGGCTGATCTCAAACTCAGCACTGATCCTCCTGCCTCCTGAGTTCTGGGTATGTATCACAATGCCTGGGTGTAAAAACGACCTTTCCTTTTAAAAGGGGCTCCTGTATAATCTGCCATATAAATGGGGATGTAAAGAAAGAAGCCTATTTGCTCTGGATGTTGGAAAGCCAGGAGGGTGCATGCAGACACACTCCTTAAAAAGAGGAATTTTGTAAATACACTTTTATTATTTTGTTTCAGACAGGTGACTTAAGAGACAAATACTATCAACAGATGAAGATTGGTTCGATTCTTTTGGATAATGATAGTTAACTGGTTTGTTCCGCAGTTGGATTCCATTAGATCCCAGAGTACATTGGCTCAAGTGGTATGAACAGAAATGGAGCACAGCTGGCAGTTCCTTCTCAGTCAGCCCAGCAGACAGTGGGGAGAACGTGGGAGGTGTGAAGTGCTTCCAGCCACGCACGGCGAAGAGCAGGCCTTCATTCACTTCCACCCAGCGCACCCCATGGTGCCAGTCATGCTCCGGTCCCTGTGAACCAGAAGCACATTTGGCCACTGAGTCTGCTATGAGCTGTTTGGGAACTGCTTCATGATCATCCTTGAGTACACTGAAAGAATCTGTTGAAAATACAGAGCTTCTTGCAGATCAGCTGTAGAAATTGTGCTACATTCTGAAGAAGAGCTGTTGGGGATGATAGAGGTCAAATGCAAATCAGATGGAAATGTACTTAAAATTGTTACATTATTCTTCTCTAAAAGAATCTTCATAGAGTGCTGGGGAGACAGCTCAGTGTCATAAGCGCCTGCCTGGCATGCACAAGGTCTTGAGTTCAACCCCCGGTACCGCAAAAAAGAAAAAGAAAGGAAAGAATCTTCATAGGGGCTCAGCAGCTCAGCAGCATAAGCGCCTGCCTGGCAAGTGCAAGGTTCTGAATTCGATCACTGGTACCACAAGAAAAATCTTCACAAAGATGCTCACTACCTGAAAAAGCCAATGGAGATACACCTATGATATGTGTTCCATGACATTTAACAAGGTATATTTTTAGAAGGCCACACAGTCTTAATTATACTTTGTAAGGGTTTGAAGTTAAAATTTCCATGCTTTTAAATAGCTTCATAATTCTGAATTTATAATAGTTTGAATTTTATGTGTTTCCTTGTTTATGAGAAGCAATACTTCATTGTTTGATAATATTTCAAATTGTTTTTAGTCTTTGAACTATTGCTTGATCACTGTAACTCATGACTTTCCTATTGAAAATCAAAACTCAAGATTCAGTAATAGGGTTACAGATCTCAGCTGTTTTTATCATGCACCATTTTTAAGGTTTTATGTTGCTCCATGCTGAAAAAGAATGTGCTCCGCAAAGATGCACAATGTAGACCCTCAGAAAAGCTGCTTCGCTGGGGAGATAGCTCAGCCGCATAAGTGCCTGCCTGGCAAGCACAAGTCCGGAGTTCAATCCCCGGTATTACAAAAAAAAAAGAGAGAAAAGAAAAGCTGCATTTCACTTTCTCTAAGTTTTTGAATGGAACTTTGGAGAGAGCCCTTATTGTTGTCAAAGAATTTTAAACATACATGGCATAAGCAGATAAGTGCAGCTCTGGGTGTGCTATAAGGAAGGCCTCTGTGTGAGTGGAGTTTTTGTGGATCATCAGCTGGATTGTCCTGGACTTGCATGAAGGTAGAGGTGTGGTACATAGTTTTCAGCACTCTGTAGCATGTAATTCTGCTGCACAAGACAGGTCTTGGCTTTTTATGGCGTGTTAGGATTAAAATGCCAAGAAGAGCTTTATTATCTTAGAAGGCAAAACTCTGGCCTGACTCCCAGAAAGCAGAACTAAAGTCAGAGTTGCTCAGTATATTGTTTTCCTGGAGAACAAATGTTCACATTTTTGGCATTTTCAAATGTTATTTTCTTTAATTGTGGAGAAATATTTTGACAACAGGCTTTTTAAGACAGTTTTTCTCCTTAAATGTCAATTGTATGTTTATTAGCTACAGCAGAAGCTTCCTGTACAGCATTTTCTTTCTAACGCTGTTATCAGTCCCCAAACCGTTCACACATCTCTTCTGGGAAAATTAGAAATGTGAATCTAGTTCACAGACTATCCCAAGAGTGGGTAACCTTTATAACTTTAATAAAGCATTAAAGCATGGTTTTTAATGCAAAGAATTAGAATATTAATGTATTTTGAAAATTTGAAAGTAAATTTATAAACTTTTAGTGAAAATCATGTATTGGTTTTATGCATCCAGCTCGCATGGATTCCATATCCAGTATTTTGGATGCTTGTTCATAACCTAAGCTTTATTCATTTATTTCAACTTTAGAAAAAAATAACTAACAAAACCCTGGAACCTTCATATGTTGAGAAAATTGCTACCATTCATGTTATCCTGGGAGTCCATATAAAACAGCTCACTCTAAAAGACCCTGTGATCAGTCTCCCCACACTAGCAGACATCAGCACGTGCGGGACACTCAGCTCTGAGAGGACTGAGGGAGGGCTGCTCCTCCCCCCTGCAGTGTAGGTGTCGGGTGGGCCCCAGGATGGATACTTCCCTGCCTTGGGCTTCAGCTTTTGGGCTGGCATGTAGTGTCCTGGCCTCTACATGCCAAGCCCTGGACTCAAGCACCTAGTACTGGGTGTGTGCTGGGAGAATGCAAGTTCCACAGAACTATGAGTTATGATAGCCTTTGCATTACTCACATATTATGTTAAAATTTCTAATGGCTAAGGGCCAGTTGTCCATTAAGATGAGATTATTAGTTAAATCCTATGTTTGTTGGTTTTGGTACTGGGAGTCAAACTCAGGACCTTGTGCTTGCCAGTCAGGTGTTTGTGCCACTGAGCTCTCCCTCACTTTAAGGCAGTTTTAGAACCACGCAAAATATGTGTCATGGTGTTTAAATTTTTCCCTCTGTCTCTGTGAGGATCTTTGGCTTTTAATATTAAATTTATATGTATTTGGTGAGTGTGTGTGTGTGTGTGTGTGTGTGTGTGTGTGTGTAACTAGGGATTGAACTCAGGCCCTTGCACTTGCCAGGCAAGCACTTCTTCTCCTGAGCTATCTCCCCAGCCCATAATTTTGTGAAGGGTTCTAGTTTTCCTTTTTAGCAGTGATGGAAATTGAACCGAGGGCCTCAAGTGTGCTAGGTGATGACTCTACCACCAAGCTACATCTATTTACATAAATTTATATATATTTGGTTTTGTGGTACTTGCCAGAGAACAGATTTCCATTCACAAACTTGCCTGTACTTTTTGTACGGCTCAGAATATTTGACCATTCTATATCTGTTAAGATACCATTTGTATACGAGCAGCTGCTTGCTGAGTCAACTTAGAAATTAATTTACCAGTCAAGTCTTGATTGCAGTATATACAAAATGGGAAAAGAAATAGATCATGACTTGAGGATGTTTGAGGTTAATGTTACTGCTCACTTGAATGTCACTTTAAAGTATTCCCCTACTAGCAACCAGCGTAAGTCCTGCAGCATAGCGCAGACAGGAGTGGCCTCCACTGGCTTGTTCTCTGAGCTGTGGGTATCATACAGTGGTGTGAGGAAGCAGTTGCCTGGTGAGGGTGTGAAAGGATAAAGCGTTGTCTTGTCTCTTGGAAGTATACATAGTTACGGGCTTACTGAGTTTCTGAGCAGCATAAAAACAACCACTGAATTCTTCACTGTGGAAGTGAAGTGTTCTGTGAAAGGCAATTTTATGGGGCCTGGCGGGCACAGCTGTAGCCAGGGTGCAGCGTCCTCACTGCAGGAGCACTGTGGAGATGCCTGCTTCTCCAGACTTGAACTAGGATGTGACACCACGTAACACAGCCAATTGTACCTCAGAAATGTGGTAAATGGTAAAGCATATTTCTGCCATTGTAGAAGAAAGAATGTTCTGCTGCTCTTAAGTCAGCAGAACACTAATGAATGGGCAGCACCCTTTTATGAAGCGAGATCACAATACAGTTAATGCACTTAATTTTATACATTCATTGTGACCAATTTCAAATTACATTTACTGAGTGTGTTTATATTAATTTAAACCAATGCTTTTAGCCTAAAGAAAAATTTTTATAAACACATGGGTTTTCAGCTTTATTATCTAAGTATTACGTATGTAACACCAGACACCAACCTGTAAAACAGTACTATTAGGACCTGTCAAGGAGTTGGAATTTCTTATACTTTATCAGATTATTTGTATAAAAAAAACAAAAACCAAACAAATGTAAAACATTTCAGAATACCATAGACAGCTTGTGAAAATGCAGCCATTTGATAATTAGAGCAGAGACCTGTAGTTTTACCTAATTTTTGCACTGGATATAAGTAATAAAAAGTGAATTATAATCAGATTTTATTTCCCATTTATTGCTTAGCATAGAAAAAGAGCTTAGTGTCAAGAAGCCTGAGTGAGCAGACTCACTTGGGAGGGGCCCAGAGCAGGAGCTCCTTCTGTGGGCACAGCCCTTGCGGAGCCCCAGAGCCCCAGAGCCCAGGTCTACAGAGTTCGCTATTTTTATCCAAGAAACATAGTTTTCCCTGCAAAACAGGTTTATATTGCTTAAAATGCCATGTTTGTAAGTGGACTTATTTAAAGGTTAGAGGACAGTGTGTATGTGAGTATGTATGTGTGTGCATACATTAAATGTTTGCCCACTTACCTAGTTTTTGAAGATGTGTTCATTCTGAAATGTCCTGTGTTTCCCAGAGTAAATGTAAAATTTACATGTGCTGTTTTAGGCTCTGATTCCAAGTGAGTAGCTGTCCCAGCTTCTGCAGACAGTTACGGTGCCACTGTAAGGTACGTGTGTGCATGCACGCTTGCGTGGAGCACACCTCTGGGATGAACATATCAGAGAGCTGGGTGTGCTAAGTCCTACAGAATCTCAAAATCATGTTTTGAGAGTTAGAGGAAGTTTGTTTTTGTTCTTTTAAATTCATTTACAACCAAGAGTGACTCTGCTAGGGAAGTTAAAGTGTGTAGGAAAGATGAAAAGTGATGTTTAGATGAAAGAAGCGTGGACATTGGGTTATAAAGCTAAGTTTTAATGGGCTTAAAAAAAAACTTGCATGTTCTCTGGTTAACTATCAAAGGGTGTAGCTAGTTATTCTAGCTGCCCTAATACTTATTATTTCTAAGAGGTATCCACAATCACCAGGTGGCATTTCCAAGAAAGGCAGACAGTACGAGTCAGTGACTTCTGGCTTCTGGGACTTTGACACAAGCCCCAGGCTCATGGGGTTTCTCACTGTGCTGTGTGTCTTGCCAGGCATGGAGCCAGATGCTTAGTTTATGACAGATGGAGGCTACAGATCATTTTGCATGAATAAAGTCCCTTAGAGCTAATGACACTGACATGTTTCTATCCATTCTGGGTAAATGAAAATTATGCTGGCGAACTGACTCACCATTTTCTAGCTTGTGCAATATTATAAAAGGTAGAAGCAGAAACACTACTAGCACGCTGTGCTTGGCTGTATGGATGGCTTTCTCACCATGATGTTAATGGACAGTGCACAGTATATTGTTAATGCACCTCCTGCAAAATTTACAAGAAATATGCTGTTAACATTCTAAAGTATTAAAAGTACAAAGAAAACACTAAGCAAGCATTTATAGCAATACTATGAAATCTACAAT